TTTGATGTATCCTTAGTCTGTTCCTCTGCTCCTTAGGAGTCTGTTCTACTTCTCCTTAGGAATTAATCAGTGCTGATATCTTCACAGAAGCAGGAGTTGAGTCTTTAGACTTTTTACATGTTTACATTTTTCTAACCTTCAGATAAACGAAGACAGAAAGCAATTTGTCCCAAGAACTTATAAAGGTACACTGTCTAGTACTGTATTTTGTCTGTAATGTCAAGAGATATTTCTACACTAAGATAGCTAGTGCTTATATGAAAACAAAAGAATAGGGACTAAATCCTCAATATTCTGGTCCCACCTGCATATTTGACTACACATCTTACATCACAGCTTCACAGGGATTTAAAAACTTACATGAAAGACCTAGATTCTTCTGCCTCATCAAAAACTGCAGTTCTACATGCAGACTTCTGTATCTATAGTTTCTTTGGCACAGGGAAAAGACCAGCCAATTTTCACATCACTATTGTTTTGTTATTATGTCACTAATTAACATAATAGCACACACATTGTTTGAAATGCAAGAAACAGTTAATAAACACTTGAGAACTATCACCTAAAGTGATAATTACATTGATGATCTCAGCCTTAGAAGTGTTCTTACATGTTGTTGTTCATATGTTCATATGAACCTTTGCTTTCATATGTTCAAGTTAAAACAGGCAAAGTGCAAGATTTTATGTACTTTTGCTTGAAATTTGGTAGGTGTAATTAAGACTGTTAACACAAGAATGTCAGATACTGGTTGTGCTTATTGGCTTAAGTTTAAGGTTAGCAGATCTGACTTGACTAAGCAATGTCTAATTATTTCAAGGCTAAACGTGCACTTTCACATCTAATTTTCATAAAAAACTCAAAGCTGGATTCCTGTAATGTTTACTGGCACCTTTTGAACTGAAACTTTTTGAACAGCCCAACAGCATAATAAATGACTTTTGATGAGATACACCATCCAGTTGTGGTGGAACACACAACATCCATTTGTGTGACATTCAAGGGGATGTATAGTACTCCTCTCCCTTTTATTTTCTAGCTGTCCTTGGTCAAGTGAAGCTTTTTTTTTTCAGGGATACATGGCATGGCCCAGATCTATGATTCTGTGGTTACCAAAACACAGGAGCATACTTGAATTTCAATTGTATGTTTCTGTGGTTCTGTTTATGCTGTGAAAAATGGTGGAATAATTAAACCAAGAAAATGAATATGATTTCCTCTAATACTCAACCTTTACAAATGCCAGATCTGGGAAAATCTAAAGCAGAAGCTATTTCCATAGACTAAGGGCATGTAGATCCATCAGTATCTACTTCTACTCAGGTAGCCCCTGAGCAATTAGTGTTAATATTTTGTAAAGATATTGACTTTTTGACAAAGACAAGGGCAGCTTTATGACTCAGCTCACTTAGACAGACATTCAAGGAGGCTGAAGAGAGTAACATTTATCAGAGCTGTCATTATTAGGCTGGGTCAAAGGCAATTCTCTTAAACAGAAACTATCACATAAAATAACCTATTAACTCATACCCAGTAGAGCACATCAGAGCAAGATTTGGAGGAAAACCATTTCCCAACAATCAGTTAAATCAAACTTTGCAAGACTAGCCAATAATAAATGAATTTATTTAAACTAGTAAATATAGTGTTTAAAACAATGCTTTCCCCTTTTCCTTTACATCAAATCAATCTTTTCCTGAAATCCACTTATTAAAAAAAAAAAAACTTACAGGAACTAATAATACAATTTGTGTCCTGGTCCTGTAGTTTTCTGATTTCAATGGGGGCAAAAACTCTTTTATAATCAAAGCCAGAGGCATGGTAAAAGCTGAACTACTCCTACAGCTCCTCTCTGAGGTGATCTCGCTTTGTAATGACAAAACCAATTACCTAAAGGATCATTGTCCCAGCAAATGTCAGTTTGTATAAACTGTTTATGTATGATAATTTTATTTCATTTGAATAAATTGTATTTGCATAAATGTAAAATATATTTCTTCAGAATTACTGTATGGAATTCTTTAAGTCCTCGAAGTCTCAGACTGTACCATCTCAGGAAGGTTCACGTGGGATAATGCAGGAACCAGCAAGGGGAGATAGTCTGTTGGACCTCACATTTACAAACAGGGAAGATAAAGGCTGGGGACAGTCATGGCTGTAGTGACTATGAGATAGAGTTCAGGATCTTATAAAGAGGAAACAAGGCAAATGGCAAGATCATAACCACTCCTTCAGGAAAGTGCACTTTGGCATCTTGAGGCATCAGCTTGGAAGAATTCCATGGGAGACAGCCCTGGAGAGAAGTGTCCAGGATCTGATTGATTTTCAAGAGTCAGCTTTTCCAAGCTCAAAAATCTCCACATAGAGGAAATCAAGCAATGGCAGGAGGAGCTCCTGACAAAACTTTGCCACAAAAAGGAAGCTCACATGAGGTGGAAGCAGGGACAAGTGAACAAGAGACACTGTCTGAGGTGCTGGGTTGGGGTTTAAGAAAGCCAAAGCCAATTTGGAGTTGATTCTGGCAAGATATGTGAAGGGCAACATAAAGGGCTTCTACAGGTCTATGAACAGCAGAAGACAAGGGAAAACAGCAGCCTAGTGCTGAATGGGGCAGGCAGGAGATCCAGTGCAAAGGACAAGGAAGAGGCAGAGGTACTCAATGGCTTTTCCATCTCAATCTTTAGAGGAAAGACTGGCCTTTAGGAATCTAGACCCATGGGAAAGACTTACATGGGAGGAAGGAAGATGTACCTTCCATTTAGGAGGCCCAGGTTAGGGAACATTTAAACAAACTGGACATACAAGTCTATGGGACACAACGTATGTGCCCACAAGGAGCAGTATGTGCTGAAGAATTTGTAAGGTCACTCTTGATAATTTTGGAAAGGTCACAGTGATTGGGGGAGGTTCCAAGGACTGAAATAAAGTAAATATCTTAAAAAAGGTTAAAAAAGGAGGTCCAAGGAACTATAGGCTGGTCAACCAGCCTCACCTCGATCCCCGGGAGGTTGAGAGAGCAAATAATTCTGGAAAACATCTACAGATGTTAGGAACACGAATGTGATTGGAAGTAGTCAGCATGTATTAATAAAGAGGAGATTATGCCTGCCAAACCTGACAGCCTCCTACAAAGAGATGACTGGCTTGGTGGACAAGGGGAAAGCACTGGCAGACAGCACAAGAGAATTTATTGATCTTGGTTTTGGCAAGTCTTTCAACAGTCTCCTGTAACATTCTTACTGATTAAGTACAAGCTACATAAATGGACAGTGAAACTGAAAACTGGCTGAACTGTCAGGCTCAAAGGGTTGTGATCAGTGCTAGGAAGTCCAGCTGGAGGCCCATCCAGCTGGAAGCCTGTTCCCTGTAATGTACACTAAGGGTTCATACTGGCTCCAATACTATTTAAGGTCTTGATTAATTAGCTGAACAATGGGTTAGAGTGCTCCCTTGGCAATTTTACAAACAAACTTGGGAGGAACGGTTGATATACCAGAGAATCGTGCTGCCATTTAGAGGGTGAGCAATGCATCTTTGTAGTAATGAAGACCAAGAGCCTCCTGGATGACATTAATAAGAGTATCTGCCACCAACAGGTCAAGTAATGTAGTAATGTGTTTATTCCCATCTATTTAAAACTGGTAATGCCACACCTGCAGTGTTATGTGCACCCCTGGGCTTCTCAGTACAATAAAGCAACGGGCATACTGGAACAAGTCCAGCAAATTGCTACACAGATGAATAAGGGATTATAGTATTTGTCATAGGAGGAGAGGCTGAGAGAGACAAAATTGGTTAGCTCAAAGGAAAGATGTATTTCTTCTGCTGTCACCTCTGAGTAGTACATGCAGCCCTGTTTTCTACAAGTCTTGTCAAGCTGATCCCACGCAAATGAGGTACTGCTCTTGGAGCAATTTAAATGAACAGAGCCATACCTTCTTTCCTGGTGATCGGATCTATGATCTAAGTCTAGCTTATGAAACTGATTCTTGGCAGGATTTCTTTAGTTATCACATCAGCAGCTGTGGAATGATAAAATATCTGTATGAATTTTTAGATTTCAGTCCACTCACTGCTTCTATATCAAGGTTTGCAGTTTCTGCTCCTAGCTGAATTCAATAAATACAGAGCAAAATCTTCTTTGCTTTGTTTTTAATTTGTCCTCAGAGATTTTGCACTGTCAGCCACCCTGGGGCCCTCTTCATGGTGACTCCCATATTTTCACGCACACTCACATAATCCTTACATACTTTACAGCCTCATCATGAGGCCTCTACAGAAAGTGACAGATTCAGGTTTGACCAATTTCAAAATCAAAAGGTAAGTGGATTCAGGAGTTACTGCACAGAGGAATGCTTTAGCTTCTGGGCTACTATGTAAAAGTTGATGACTGTACCATGGCTACCACCACTAATATGTTTTTGAATGAAATTAAATGTGACTGCTCACTGTGGGTGTACTGAGAGCCTCAGCTTTCCTAATGAACTGGGCAGACTTTGACTTGGGGGCACTTAATCTGTACATCTCAAATGGCCTGAATACACAGATGACTATATACCAAGACTTACCATAGGTTTTTGAGCCTGTTTAAAAGAGCTCTAGACAGAAGATAGAGTGCCTACAATATTTCAGTTACCTCATTGATTTAAATGAGTATACATGGATTTGTTTCTAGCAAGTGTAAAACAGTCCAGGTTTCAATTTTGTGTTATCTTATATCTTTCCTTAAGCGCTCTGTAAAATTAACAAATTTAAGAGCTAGAATTTTATTTTTAAGTAGATGAGAAATACTACATATACATTACTACTGATTAAGAGAAGCCATTGTGAAACTGCTCATGTTTACAGATATCAGTAATTGGCACAATCAGGACTACTTCCAAGCACACTCACTCTGATGCGTGAGTCACTGAATACTATTCCACTGTCAGTTTTATATCTACAGTTTCATATATATACAGTTTATATGTATATGATTGTACATAGTTCTTTTCCTTCAAAAGGTAATTATATTCAAACATTACAATATATTCAAAATCACAAATGGTATTTGTTTCATGGTTAGAAACGAAATATTTATAATTTCTTACTTTATTTACATTTGCCCCCTTTTCTGCATTAGGTCTCAGAAATTGTTGAGAAGCTTCCTGCAGCCTGAAATGACAGAGAGCACTGTAAAAAGGACACCCCTATTTTATGCCTAAAGAATATTGCTTAATAGGTATTAATCTGAAGAAATATATTGTACGGTAAGGCTTTTGACAGACTACCAACCTTCTGAACACCCAGAGAGCATTTAATTTTTGTCTGATCACAAGAACCTAATGTCACTGCACATGCTACAATGGAAACTCTAAGACAAATACAAAGCTTTGGCATCTGTGTTACCCGTACGTATCCCGTAGTGTCTGGTGTGGTGTTCACTGCTCTTCTAGTTTCTTGCTGCTCATCTCTGACCATAAGAGCTCGTCCACTTGTTCGTAATTCACCTTTTGTTTCTATCTGGAATGCTCCTACAGAACTTTGTACTGAAAGGACTGGAGTGCAGGTGGACATGAATTTTTTTCCTTTCATTGGAAGCACACTGAAGACATCCATTGGGCAAAACATCACACTCTTCTATCCAGACAGGCTTGGCTACTACCCTTACAAAAATGAAGTCACAGGAGAGGCATTCAATGGAGGACTTCCTCAACTCTCACTGCTGGAGAATCATTTAAGAAAAGCCAAAGAGGACATCCAGTTCTACATTCCTTCAGATGAACAGCTTGGATTGGCTGTCATTGACTGGGAAAACTGGAGACCCGTGTGGATAAGGAACTGGGGATCAAAAGACATTTATAGACAGGAATCCATTGAACTGGTTCAGCAGAGAGACCTCAGTCTATCTGAGGCCGAAGCCAGAACTATAGCTAAAATGGAATTTGAAGCTGCAGCAAAATCATTCATGTTGGAAACTTTGAAGCTGGGCATAGAAATGAAGCCAAATCGTCTGTGGGGATATTACCTTTATCCAGACTGTTATAACTATGATTACAAACAAAACCCACATAATTATACAGGAGCCTGTTTAGATATTGAAATAGAAAGAAATAATGAGCTTAATTGGTTATGGAAGAAAAGTACAGCACTTTATCCATCTGTCTATCTAGAGACAGCTTTAAGATCCTCCAGAAATGCCCAGCTCTTTGTTCGCAACAGAGTTCAAGAAGCCATTAGAACTTCCTATGTCTCTAATTCTACTCATCCCCTTCCAGTTTTTGTATATACACGTCCAGTATTCACAGACGTCTATGAGGAATATCTCTCTGAGGTGAGTGAAGCTAGACCCTAAATATTTCAAATTTATGTGGAAAGAAATTACCAGGTGACACTTATTTAGCAAATATGCTAACTTGTATCAGAAAAAGGTGTGCAATTTTATATAAAAAATTAAATTCATCCATCAAAGAAATTTGATCAATCAGAACACTGAGGTCTATTTTCAAACCTGTCTCATTATATTTATCAAATAGTGTTTTATTCTCTGAGTTGTCCTCACATGTAACAAAATATTTCAAAGTTAGAAAGCATATTTAGTACATTAAGTCAGAGGAAAGAAATATGGGTAACCTCTTCCAAAGAGAATTATTAAAACTGGGCTGATCTAATGCCTGCATTTTAGGTTATAGGAAAAAAAATACAATAAAATGGAGTCTTTCTTTCCCTAAAAAGTGTTAAAAGCTAGTTAGAAAATTCTGTCCTTAGTTGTACTTGGGTAGCTTTCTAAATGGTATTTCAGCATCTCATGGGTTAGTTAAGGTTAGGCTCTGATTAAGATCCAATCATCTTATTGCAGTTCTGGCTATACTTTTTCCTTCACAGTTTTATAGACACTCACCCCATCAGAGATACCATCGATCTGGGGAATCTCTTCCTGGTGTTCCAGGATATGAGGAAGGGGAAGTTAGAGGCTGTGGTCCTGCTGATGGCATTGTAGCTGGTGTCGTTTCATATTCTCGATAGAACATCAGCAGGCATTCCCCCCAGGCTGTGTATACTATCAGGGAGCAAGGGGTAATGTCAGAGGCCCTGCTGGGATCCTACTTAATAATTTAATTCCTATAATCTTTACATTAATCCTTTTCTAGTGTTGTCCTCCCATAGTAAGTTGTTTTTATATTATTCTTTTCATTACCATAGTCCTCTCCCATCCAGATAGGCTTCAACATTTTGCTAGGACTGTGTTAATAGCTGACCCTAAAAGGAGAACTGAACAGAAACAAATTTCCCCAATCAATATCTGTAAAAGGCCAGAGCCATTCTCTGGAGAAGAGAGATTCTTGCTGGTGAAAGCTCTTTCTCTTGCTACTTTTCTGTTTTAGCACTTCCTGGTAACTGGAATAAAGTTTAAAAAAAAAAAAAAAGCTGTGCTTTCCACATCTTCTTCCCACAACATTACTGAAACCCATTGCTACCAACTCTGAGCAGTAAGGAGGCAATGCAGCAAAATAAACCTTAGAATGGTTGGAGGAGTGTATGTCATATGCCTAACCACTGGCTCAGTTTTACAGCCTTGTTTTTCTAACAGATGACATATATAAATTGGATATAGTTGGCAACATTTTCTGGCATCACCTGTGCAATTCAATCCCAGAATAAAATTGTGCAGTTGAGAGTAAAACATTTGCACCATGTATAATTGCTTGCTGTCTTCAAAATAGTTATTTTGGATATGCAATTTCTATATGCATTATACCTTTTGCCCTTGTGTTAGTATGATTCTTTGCACATTTTCCCTCAGGATGACCTGGTAAATACCATTGGAGAATCTGCTGCACTGGGTGTTTCTGGAATTGTGATCTGGGGTGATATGAATTTAACACAAAATAAGGTATGCCAGATCAATTATTATATGAAAATTTTAAGAAGCAATAAAGTGGAGAGGATATAAAGCATTTTGATTACTTACATCATATCTTCTACTTTTAAAATGATGATTCCATATTGCCAGTAGCTTTCTATAGTCAAAACCCAAGCACATCTGAGGCTTATGAAGATCATCATTGACTTCACAGAACAAGAATTCAATCTTTTAAAGGATCAGTGCTGTTGGCCCTGAGCAACTGGACAAACTATCATGATAACTGTAGGCAAGTTAGCACTTGTTTAATTAATGTAAGTAAAGAATTGCTATATCTTCTTTACATTCCAGTCATGAGATAAAGAAAAAATTACTTGGTTTTGCCCAGAACAATTTTTGGAAGACCCTTCTGCTTTTTGAATGCACTTGGTAATAACATTTAGAGCGCTAGGAGGAATCAGTCTGTAAAATTTCAGCCCTAGCCTGTTCTGTGTGCTGTTAAGTACTACTTCATTTAATTGTATGAAAGATCTAAGTCAGAAGAGGAAAAAACCTCTAGGTTATTTTAGGAGGGGGAAATACATAGTTTGAGAAACACTATTACAAGGATATTTCAAAAAATCTTTCTAGCTAGTTCATTCATAACCAGGCAAGTTAGATATAATGAACTAGTGAAGTCCTTTGTGTTCAAAGAACTGAAACTCTTCAGCCCTGCCACACCTCCTGTTACAGAAAGCATGGCCAAATAAACCTCCACAGCTCTGTAAGAGTCTTATTCACCAAGGCATTCCACTTTGACTTTTTTGTATGTGCCTGCCCCTGAGAAAGGATATCAGGTTGCACCTAGAACTTTTTTGCCCATTATTCCAATATTATAACATAGATGAGCAGCAAGTTTTATTACCTGAATTTTGAAATTCCTGTTAAATGAACTTTCCACAGCCCAGTCAGACTATGCATTTGTGCACTAATTGCACCTGTTTTTTTACAGCTTTCACATTAACTAGCCCTTCAGAAATGAAATATTATTGTAACATCTACAGCAACTACACAACATAAATTTGCTGTGATCCTTGAATTTTATAACAGCTTCTCAGATAAACTTGTTTCCAACAACCAGTTATAGCTATTATCAAAACCTCAGGAGAAACAATTATAAATATACACTATGGTACTGTTATTGGAATGATAGCATTTTAATGGTTTCCATACTAAACTACAGAGGTATGATGCTCTTTTCACAGAATACCTGTAGAATTCTGGACAACTACCTCAGAAAGACTTTGACCCCATACCTCATCAACGTCACAATGGCAGCCAGAATCTGTAGCCAAGTGTTATGCCAAGACTCTGGTGCTTGTGCACGGAAAAAATGGAATTCCAGTGACTATCTTCACTTGAACCCTGAGAATATTGTAATTCAAATGACAAAGGATGGGAAATACAGTCTGCAAGGGCAACCATCATTTCAGGATCTGCAAACATTGATAGAAAAATTTGATTGCCACTGTTATGCAGGGCACAGCTGTGAACCTAGAGCTGATATCAATGACATCCATTACCTCCATGCTTGCATTTCAGAAGATACTTGCATTCAGACATCCCCAAATTCCTTTTCTAACATAGAAGCCTCTGAAGAAAAGATCCTGTCTAACAGAACTGCATTTTCATTTGCCTCTGAGAGTAAGGTGACATTATCTACACATCCTGAAATAGAAGATTTCCAATCTACCTTTGGAAATAATACACTTAATATAACAACTGCAGAATATAACACTGTCATAGCTGCCAGTAGATATGATTTAGAAGCAAATGATACTCGTACTTTCAGTAGCTCTTCATCCTATAAGATAAAGATGTTTAATCTGTTTTGCTTAATTGTACTTTTGAGAACCTTAATACAAATGACCCATGAAAGTGAGAATATTCTTTTCCCTGGCTATGTTTGAAATTCTAAAGGTTTTATTTACAAAACAAACAAACAAACAATTTCCTAAAGGCTTATGGTCTTATCTGTATCAGGTAACTTTTCATAATTCATAGATGACACTTCAGCTTGAATGTATTTCTTCAGTTTAGTTCTATAAACTACTATTTGTGCCAAAGACATAGTGGTCTGTTATACTGACTATACTATATGAGAGGATAATCCAGAATACAAAACATTTTCTACAGTTTACATTTTTTACTGTTATATTTAAAAAAAAAATTGTGACAATGCTGTTTTGTGTACTTCCAGTCAAGACAGTTAAATATATAATACATAAAATAATTCATCAGGTTTGATGCTCTATGCAAGAATTAATTTCATTCCATATGAATGGAATTAGCTCTTAAAAATATTTGGTTTAACTTTAAATCTGTGGGACTTTGTAGCATAAAATTTATCTTATGTAATATTTCTCCACTTTTCATAATATCTATAGGGACACTGTGTTTTTTCTTGTAATTAAATATATTTCTAATTCTTCAAAAGGTTCTTACTTTAATGTAATTGTTGACTTCAAATATTACAGCTTCATTAGTTAAAATTTGAGCTGTAATGGTTTATCCTTTCTTCTCACGAACTCTCCCCCTTATTTCAGATGTCCCTTCCTTGGCTTCCAGTTGTTTTATCTGGCCAATGCTGACAACTCATCTGCTCTGCTTCTGCACTCCCTGCCAGCACTGGTCACCAGTCCCAGTTTCCCCATCCAGCCATCCCTAGCAATTGGATAGGGCTGTATGAGCCATTTGGACAAAAGTCTGTGAACATGGGATTTTATGCTTCATTATTTCCTGAGCATATTTTCTTTGGTGGAAACCAACTTGCTCCTCAGGAAAAGCCAGCAGTGGAGGCAGCAAGATGAGTGACTCTGAGGACCTGGGACTCCCTTTATTCACTTCCCAGTGAATAAAGTCTTGATCCAGTCTGCTGACAGAACTGAGAGTATTTGCTTAATACTATTCCATTGCCAAAAGCAGTGTGAAAGTAGCAGAGATACCTCAGAAGAAAAGTACTCCCAATATCATATCAGGAATCTGGTTATGATTTACATATAGTCAGTTTAAGCATTTAGAAGCAATTAACAGCAGTTTATTTGATAAAATAACCTTTTCAAATTATTATGTCAGGTGCTCAGTAGACAGTTTGACTTCTGATGAGTGAAGAGTGGCTGCTGGCATGGATACATTAAAAAATCTCCCTTGAGCTAGGCATGATCTGCATAAATAATTCACCCCCTTCCACAGATAGAGCCTGCCTCACTAGTGAAAATAACAATGATTTCATAGTAGCCATTTGTTTATAAAAAGTTCATTCCTTAATCCAGCAGAAAACACAAATTATATTCATTCTCTTTGAATTTTCAGGTTGTTGGTCATAACAGAGGTGCAGAAAAATAGATGAAGCCTTTAGACTTAACATGGAGAAATAGTGTTTTATGGCTTTTGAACAGCAAGTTATCAAGAGGATGTGACAATTTTCTCATCCCAGTTACGGTGATAAGTCCACGAGTCAAAGCTATTTCTGCCATTAATGTTTCAAGTGGAATCACAAATATAAATATATATATATATATGTAACAGACTGCTCAGCAGAAAAGAATCCAGCTGGTTTTGATCACCTTTGTCAAAACATGCTTTTTCACTGGAAACATGACTGGTAATATCTTAGCAAAACTTTCATGACTTATATGAAGTTTGATTTTTTTCAGAATGCCTTACCATGGCTAAGATTTTATGCTGGCACACAGAGTTCTAGTTTAAAGGCTGTGCAATTTTGTTAAATGTCTGGCAAAGCTTCCTGAGATCAGGCTTGTTTCTATCCAGAGCTCTGAAAGACACTGGATCTATAGCACTTTGTGCTAAGACCACTTGCAGGTTCGCAAAATCTACAAGTCTTGCCGTAAATATTTTCATTATCAGCCAAGTAATAGCAAGCAAAACACTTGTGATGGAGAAAGCAGGAAATCACCAGAAAAGAAAGAATGAGAAGTTAAAATCACAGAAGAGATGAAACAGAGCACCCAGGACCACCTAGTGGACACAGAGGAAGTTAACTGCAAAACCGAGAGTGAAGCTGTGGAGATAGACCAGTCTCTTCCCATTCAGCAGTTTTTATCTACCAAGTACTTAATGTTAAAAACCTTTCCCCAAGGCTCACTGTAAAGATAACAGAACACAATAACTGATATGTTAGACCTACTCATCTAATCCCATCTCTTTTTTTTTTTTTGAGAGCAGCCAGGACCAGAAAAGTAAAAGGAAGGTGAGAGGAAAGCAGACTATTGCAATAAACTGTGTCTTCCTAAGATGCATTTATAAGTATCTATCTATCTTGTGCTCTGATGCATACTTTACCAACCCCCTTTTAAACGTTCATTCAGGATTGTTTTTGTTATCTATACGTATCTGCCATTCATGCTTGAAATCTTACAAACTTCAGGAATTAGGTCTGATATGTGTTAAATTACAACATTTTCCAAATATATTATTTTGCTCTGTATTACATTTGTCTTACCTATACTCTATGATTAAGAGTCACCATGGAATCAATGAGTCTCCATGGAGTAAAAGCAGAAAAGAAGGAAAGGGGTGCTATGCCTTGCATTGCTGGTGACCATCTTATGTTCAAAGCCAAACTTGTATTCTCCCAAAGTGGACCCCCTTCCAAAAATATTTCCTTCCCTTCACTGTATTTCCTGTAATCATTAGTTAGCCTTACAATTTTAATTTCTTATGTTCTTGTATTTTTCAAAAGATTAAATACTAGAGGAACAGTTCACTTTGATTGCCATTCATTATTTCGTACTTCTGTTCTAGGCTGAACTCAGACTGGCAATACTTAAGGACAGGGAAATGCTAATGTGGGTTTGATGAAAGAGTCTAAGTGAAAGCAGTTTAACTACCTGGAATGCCCTCCTTCAATGTCTAGACATTTTGCTAAAATTTTAACTGAAATTCTGCTTTTCTGTCTGAAGAATCTGAGTCTGATTTATTGTGTTGCTTATCCTGGGACACTTAAAGATATTGGCACTTCAAAGAGAGATGGCAGTTGACACTTAGAGAAACTGAACAGGAGTGAAACATAGTCCCTGTCTTACATGTTTTTTGCTTTTCTGTATTAAAAATAGCAACATGGAGAGATATTTTGAGAGGCCAGTAAGACCACTTTGTAGACAGCATAGAATGTGACTAGCATCTCAAAGAATTCAGCAAAATTTGCTTTAATCCCTGCATCACACTAAGACACCATGTTGTATATATATCAGCAAAGAATTGTGTGGAAGATTTTAGACCTGTGCAATAGGTACTAGACAACTCCCAGACAGATTAGATTTGTACATGTACCTATCCATCACTTTTCAATACCAACAACAAGACAGCAAAGACAGTTGTATAATTTTAAAACATATTCAGTTATGGAGCACTGATGACCTTTTTAAGATGACAACTAAATTCCATCCTTCAAACATGCATACCTAAAACTTGGAAGATTTTTCACAATGTGCTTGTGTCAGCTCCTTTGCACTGGCAGACTCCCATTCTGCCAAACCAGAACAGCCTGCAAAACTAGGGTCTGAGATTTCAAGTTGGAGTAATGAGTTTCTTTCAAAAAAATAACATTGATAGAAAAAAATGTTTATTGCATGCCTTAAAAAAAAAGAAAATAATAATTACTGCTTTATTTAACAACAACTTCTTCCTTAACATTTTGTTGTTGTTCTTTCTTGGCATTTTTTTTCTCCTGTGCTACTGAAAACCATTGTATAGGTGGCTGGAAAGAGATTCAAAAAGTTTCCTAGTCTAACTTCATTCCTTACCACTGCTAAGTGATTCCCAATGTATGGCTATCCCAGATCCTTCTGTGTGTTTTTCTGAAAAGAATCCATTGAAAATTAACCCTGCCTCATGATATTTTTCATTATGATGATGGTCATGTAAACAGGCCATATTCAAGATCAATCCTAAGCTACTGTGTATACCAGACAAGGATCTGGGTTTTTATAGAACCGTTCTTTTGTGTAGCTGTTCTGAACCTTTTGCAGCTACCTTTCACTGCCAGTACTACTCAAGACTGCAAAGGCTTCCATTTATTGTCCCCTTGTTATATACAAGAAAGTAAAGGGCAAGGAGGTAAAGGGCACCTATCAATATTTGCATCCTTAAGGGAATAACTTTGGATTTCATTATGCTCACTAATGTGTTATCAGCATCATGGTATATTGATTATAGTTCCCCTTGGTCAGTAGTAATTAGATGACATTTTTCAGTGTATGCTTGTATAACCCTTAGTTTATAACTGATAAGGTATTTATTGATTAGCAATCAGACACAAACAGACAGTATGAAAATTAATGTGAATCACTACTTTATATATTCAGCCAACATTCTGGCTCTGTGCACACAATTCCAGATGGTCATGTTCAGTGGTATATACAGGTGGACACTAGACAACATGCAGTCACCTGTTTCTGCCTTTGTTTTCATATCAGGAAATATATTTATTCAACAGAACTTCAAAATCCGGCAGAAGAAATATACTATATTTTGGCAGTCTCATGGAGGACACTGCTCCCTCAGGCTAATAGCAGGTTGAGACAAGATGACAGCTTGCCTGTGTCAAGTGGTGATTTCCTGAGGCAGGGACATAACAACCACCCATTTAAAGGGAGGCTAAGGGCATCCTGCAGTCCCAAAATGATAAAATGGTTAATGGCACAACAAAGCACAAAATACCTTACTTTTTGGGCAGCCAGTAATTAAGGGTGCTGGACTAATAACAGACTTAGGCTGTCTGTAAATCCTATGCATTGTTTCAGCATGAACTGCAGAGACCAAGTCTAGGTATTCAAATCACAGTATTTTTGAGTTAAAAACCTTAATCTGACCTGCTCTACCAGCATAACAATCCTTACAGGAATCCTTTTTCACCTCTTCCCTCACTGGAGTGTGACTAGAATTTAAGGTACATACTAAAGAGCCTCTGAGGCTCCAGCCAGCAGAGGACATGGATGATGCATGCAGACACCAGTGGGTACATCACAAGGCGCTCACTGAAAAGTTCAACACAGTCTTTCTGTTCCCTTCAGCAACACAGCTGCTTGACTCTGGCCTACAAACAGAAAAGAGGACTAGTCACTCCCTAACACAGTGACTCAATGGCAGAAAAGATGCACAACTTATTCGACAGGTTTTTTTCACAAACAGTTGGTATATCAGGACAAACGTGAAAATATGAGTGAGATATTACCTCTTCTCATACTCTCCTCTCTGGAGATTTCATTCAGCTGAAGTTTTCTTCTCCTTAAGATCTGCCCAGGGAGGCTGTGGAGTTACCATCCCTGGAAGTGTTCAAGAAACGACTGGACATGGACTTAGTGCTATGGTCTAGTTGAAAAGGTCAAAGGTTGGACTTGATGATCATGGAAGTATTTTCCAACTGTAATGATTCTATGATCTTCAACTGTCACTAAAATGCATGCTTAAACTACAGAGAATGTCATCTGATCTCTGGTAGTGCTCTGAAATACAGATCTGAGTCTCAAATACTTCGTTCCTCCCCAAATGTGAAACATCTGGATATGCAGCGTGAATTCAGGTCAAGTTCTGCTAACCATGTGTTTATAGCATCACCACAATTTCACCAGAAACATAAGATACATTGTTATATAGCACAAATAAGTCTTTGCAATGGAGTAAGCTGCTTTAGCACCCCTTTAGAGACAGAGCACTGGAAGACCCAGTAAGTTTAGTGCTGCCTGGTCCCGTAACACTGCTAAACTGGTCCTGCATTGTGTAAATCTCAATAGACAAGACAGAAAAGTGAAATTCTTTATCAGTAGTAAAATGTTTCCCAGAAGGATTAAGTGACTTTTCTACAGTCACACAGGATAACGAATTGTGGCCCCAGGTCAGGCTTTTAGCGACAAGAACAAATGTCCTCTGAGCTGGTAATTTTAGCAAGGCAGCAATATTTTTACATATAATATTCTATTACCAAACTGCCTGTAAAATAAAGAATTGCCTTTCATAATCATATAGCTTTGCAAAAGATGTAACAGACTTTAGAACAATGTAACAGACCTTTGAACTGGGACAAAACCTCCAAGACTTTTTCATGTACTTTTTTGACCCCTGGATACTGTAAAAGACTTCAGTCATTGCACAATTAAATTAATATTTTAGAATTTATCTGTACATCCTCTGCCAGCCTTTTATGAGGATATGCCCAAAATGTACTTTTTGAGACTATGTTACTGTATCTGCAATATATTGCTTATTAAACTTCCATCACTATGAGCCTTAAGTACTATTGAAAAATCTAATATTTCTTGCAAAAATTCTAGAGACTGCTCAATTTTATGTGAGTTTTCACCCATGCAGTAATCAGAATCACTTCATTCCCAGAAACCACTCTCACAAACAGATGGTCTTTATTCCACACATCACCAGTGATGTATGGAGATGGTGGAAATTCTTACATTTATCAGCTTTAAGGCAGCCAGAAACATTTCACCTATTCACCCAAAATTTGGTAATTGCTTTGGCCAAAGCAAACTTTTAAAAATAAAAAGATACATAGCAGAAAAATAATTAAAAAAAGTGCCTTCTTTTGTTTGAGACTTGCCACTGAACACAAAATCAGGAGGTCAGCTGACATATTTAAGAGAAGCAATGAAAAATAATCCCATTGGGTAGCAGGGCCAGCTCCAGTGTCCAATTTCCTTTTGGAAATGCACAATTAAATTTACAAAGGCAAATAAATGAGTATCTGTAAAAAAAAAAAAACTGTTAGAATTACATTTTGACTATATCTAATACCGAGGCATGAAAAAACATGAAGTTTTTCACCTCTACAGCTAGCCCAGAACCAACTGCTCTTCAGAGCAGTCTCAAGACCTTTCAGATTTTGTGGCCTGACTGACGTAACCAGTGAGGTTTTGTCGCAAACCTCATTCTCTAAATTGCTGAATTATGTCTCTAAAATGACCACAAAAACCAATTTCAAAATGTTTTGATGCAATTTGCTATGTTTCAATAGTAGAGGTATCCACATTCAATGTGTGCCTTGTTTATACTTGTATGAATGTCAACCAATACAACCAGCACTGTAAGCTTTACAGAGCATCACATATAATTTCAGTTACAACTTCAGAGACTGGCAGATGGATCCAGGTGAAGTGTTAGCTCTGTGTTTATGGATAAAAAAAGCCTTTCCCTAACGCTGTGTGGCAATAC